TGATCTGATGGTGGTGGTTGCAACAACAGTGAACCTGTCTCTTATACACATCTAGATGTGTATAAGAGACAGGCCCAGGTCCCTGGCCTTTTCCTGACACTGGCACTCCGGGCCTCGCGTGGGAGCGTTACGCGAAACCCGCGATTCCCTTTAAGAGTATAAGGAAGAAATCAAAATGTCAAAGATAGCCCTCATTCCATTCCTTTTAAAGAAAGGTAACTTGTAATTCAGTAAATCTGACTAACCTGTATTCGCTCTTGACGACCATACTGCGAAGCTCACAGAAGAGGCGTTCACCTTGGATTGTCTCAAATTGGACAAATGCAACCAATCCAGCTTCTTGTCCTCCAACGACAACCCAGAACCGCTCGGGCACCAAATTGAAGGGATTCATCCTGGGATTCATATCAAAGGGGAGCGAGGTATATACAAATGGATAGGATAGGATAAGATAGGGGTTGGATAGGGTGGGATATAATTGGATAGGATAGGATAGAAAAGGATAGGATAGGATAGGATAAGATAGGATAGGATAGGATAAAATTGCATTGGACAAGATAGGACCATACACCACATTGAATGGATTCAGCCTGGACTCCAATCAGAGGGGAGCGAAGGGAATAGTACAAATGGATAAGGTTAGGATAGGGTAGGGTAGGGTAAAATAGCGTAGAGTACGGTGGGGATTAGGATTAGGATAAGGGTAAGGATAAGGATAGGGATAAGGAGGATGAGGATGGACAAGGATTGTTTAGGTACGATAGAGATAGGATATTAGGTAAGATAATAAAAAAAAAAGGATATTAGGTAAGATAAGGATTGGGTAGGGTGAGGATTAGGATGGATAAAGATAAGGAAGGTTAAGGATAAGGTAGGATAAAGGATTGGGTAGGATATGGATCATATAGGATAACGATTAGGATAAGGATTAGGACTAGGATCAGGACTACGATTGGGATTAGCTTTACGTTAAGGATTAGGATTAGGATTAGGATGGATAAGGATTGTGAAGGATAAAGTTTAGGTAGGATAGAGATAGGATATTAGGTAAGATACGGATTGGGTAGGGTAAGGATTAGGATGGATGAAGATTAGGAAGGATAAGGATAAGGTAAGATAAAGGATTGTGTAGGGTAGGATACGGATTATATAGGATAGCAATTAGGATAAGGATTAGGACGAGGATCAGGACTACGATTGGGATTAGCTTTACTATAAGTATAGGACAAGGTTTATACGAGTTGGATGTAATACAATGGGATAGGACGGGATAGGATAGGACAGGATGTAATAGAATGTGAAAGGATAGGATAGGAAAACATAGGGCTAATAGGAGTTGGATATAATAGAATGGGATAGGATAGGTCGAATTAGGGCAGGATAGGATATGATAGGATAGGGTAGGGTAGGGTAGGATAGGATTGAGTAGGATAGGGTTATGTATTTATATAGTTTCATGGAAGGGCAAGATATGGTCAAATAAGGTAGGTTGAATTGGTATTGCGTCCTTCATCCATGAAGACAGCAGCTCTAGTACCAAATTGACAACATATTTTAACCAAAGGGCAAAAATCAGATAAAACAAGATTGGAGTTTTAACCAAATAAGGACACCACCTTTTTTACCTTAAACCGCAAGGATGGAGGACACAAGAGATAACGAAAGTGAGAGGGTTGTACCAAACAAGAAAAAAAAGAAAAAGGCGAAGAGGAGGGAGAGAGGTGGACAAAGAAAAACAAGGAGAAGGATGACGACAAGAGGAGGGAGGAGGTGATGAGGAGGAGGAGGAGGAGAGGAAGGAAGTGGGGGGCGTCGGGGGGAGGAGGAGGACGAACAAAACGTGAAGGAGATGGGGGAGGAGGAGGAGGAGAAGAAGAAGAAGAAGAAGAAGAAGAAGAAGAAGAAGAAGAAGAAGAAGAAGAAGAGGAGGAGAAAAAGAATCCTCAGGCTTCCTTTACCCCTATCTAAGAAGAAATGAATATGAAGGATAAAGTATGTTCAGGGCTAGTGGAATCAGTGCATGCCCCCTAAAAAAAAAAAGTATAAAAAGACAACAACAATAGATGGGCCATTGAAGGCAATTATCATGCTTAAAATAAAATAGTAAAATTAATAATAACAATGATAAAAGATCTTCTATGAAAAAAGAAAGAGAAGCAAGGAAAGAAATTTTGAAAAAATTGATACAAGATACTACAGATGTCAAATAATGACTACAAATGTAATAATTTCTAAAATCTTATGTCATTTTCAATAACTATCACCACATGGTATCCCTGCCCTCCCAAACTAGTTTTTTTTTGCATATCCTTTTTATTTGTTTAGGCAAAATATTTTTTGGTACACCAAGCACTTCTACATTTTCTACTCCAAATTTTAATTTATCTCCAATTTTCCTTTTTTCTTCAAGTTCGTGTCTCAAGTTTCAAACAAATAAATAAATCGAGTTTTCTCTGCATTTTGATTGCAATATCAAGTCAATCTGTTCCGAAAATTTAGGATTCAATAATTTCATCTCAGAGATCCAGCGTTGTTGACATTTAGCATCTTTGTAAATCAACATTGTCTTTGTTTTTTTTTTCTTAGCATACTTTTTAAGTTTAAACAGGAATATATGGCAAGATAGATAATTCGAAAAAACGTTTTTGAGTTCTTCCGTTCCCAACCAGAGTCGATAATATATTTTTTTTACTATAATTATTGATTCTCATATTTACGATCTCTTTGAATGGGTCCCACATGTGTGTAAACATTCCAAACAACTTCTAAATAATGAGCTCCCCTTCCCTGTCTACCGCCAACCCACCCACCCCAACAAAACGTTGTTTCTCGAACATTCACCTCAATGTGCAACATTCCTTTCTCTTGCTCTTTTTTTTTTTTTTTTTTTAAGAAATCTCTTATGACTAACAGCAACATTCCTACTCATGGATGTAAACTGTAAGTTCTATCATTAGAACTTTCAAAAAGAAGTTGCAAAAGTTAAACCACTAGTACCTTTCCCGTGTGGGAAAATAGGGAAAACTGGCTATCCTGAAAATTCGGAGGTCAGGCCCGACGACAAACGAAACTACAGCCATTGATAAATCTGATCGGCGGCTGTCGTTTCGTTTGTCGTCGGGCCCGGCCTCCGAATTTTCAGGATAGCCAGTTTTCCCTATTTTCCCACACGGGAAAGG